GATTAAGGGAAGGGCAGTGCAAGCTTTTAAATAATTTTTTTTTGTCTGTTGTATGAAAGCTTTCTGCGTAATATCTTCCTTTGATCATCCACGTCCTCTGCTTGACCAGTCGCTGACTCTCAGCATCAGTGTGAGATGAAATCATCTTGAGGAAAATCACACTAAGCTCTTTGAGTTGCAGTAAGTAATGTTTGCATTTAAGATGCCTGGGCTGTCGGAGGATGTGCAGTCATGCTAGCGTAAGCATCAATCTGTTGCTAATGCTTGGCTCAGAAAATGGGTTTTAGCTAAAAAATTCAGCAGCTTTACCCTTCGCTCAATGAAAGGCTGGAACTTACTGATCGAGTTACCTGGGTATTCAGAAATTTCTCAGGGTCAGAAAGTTATTTTTTCCAATGTAAAATACTATTTCCTACTCCAGCTTAATATGTAGAGACAAATATAAGCAAGCTATTTGTAGGTTGAATGCCTCAAGAAGCGTAAACGTTGTGCTGCTATCAAAACTTTGCTTGTTTTGTTTGTTTGCACATCCCGACCAGCCCAGCATAGCAACATCGGCTCAACCGATGGTGTGAGTTTGGAGCAGGGCTATCGGTTTGCTTGACCAATGATGGGGAAGTGTATGGGAAACCTGTTTGAAAATAATCACTTTTTCACAATTGATGCTAGTAATGTAAAAATTACACTCTTCACCATAACTATAGATGTTCACCGCACTAAACATGCTGTACTCAGTCATTCTATAGCCTTACATATCTACAAACATAAGACTTTATGATCATATTTCCTCTGTATCTCTCTTCATCCATGGAGAAAGGATAATCTATTGAGCTTTTTTTTTGATCTGTTACAAGGAAAGCCTGAAGAATGGGTTGACTGCAGAGCAGCCGTATACATCTCAGCCAGATTTTCAGCTTAGTCCCGGATTATCAGCAACACTGGGCTTTTTCAGTAAATAATACTCAAGTAATCGCTGTTTGGACAGGTGGTGGGATATGAGAGTACAGAGCTATATTTCTTTCTATTTCTTTCTTTTTTTGTGTTGGCATCCTCAAAAACGTTGATTTTGGTTTCCTAAATGTATGCAGATTTTTAAAATGATAAAACTTCATTAAATTATTAGACAATTGACAGTTGTCCCTGCCTACCAATTTCTTGCATAGTTGTGCTTGTTTCATATCTCTCATAGTACACATTGGTCACTTGTCACATATTAAAATAATTTCAATTTATATTAACATTTAAAGTGCATTTGGTAAGTGCATCAGGTCCCGATCAAAATTTTTTGTAGTAATGATGGGCTGACTGTGTTATCCCTTACGTAATTTAAATTTACCTCATGCATAACTGTTTTTATGAATTAATCACTTGGGAATCTGGCCAGTTATTCTAATGATTTGCATCTTAATTAGCCTCTGTTTCAAAATACAACATTTAAAAAGCCTGGCCAGATGCTTTCAAATCCCAAGTGATTGATACATAAGAACTTCTATGTGCCCATTGGAATGAACTACAGGGTGCAGTCTGTGTGTTCTTGTGAAGGTGTGAACAGGGAGTGTTTGAAAGCTGGCCTCAAGATGCTTCTGAGTCTAAGTTTTGTCAGCTTTTCATAGCTCTAAGCCATGACTAATTTTATTTTACAGCATGGGTGATGAACTGTAGGCCAGTTGATTAATGACCATGTTAATGCACTCTGTGGGGGGACTGAGGATCTGGCCTTTTAAGATCCTAATGCAGGATGGATTGTCACAGTGGAGGTGAAGTAAAACAGAGTAAAAGGCCACATACAGATCTAGGGGTGACCAGTATAACCAAAATATTTTTTTGTCATTTTGTTATGAAACTAATGGTGCACAAGCACCGATACAGAATGGCTGAGCACCCACGGGAAAAACTCTAGATATTCTCTATTCACTATCCTATTGGCGACACTGATCTGGCAAACTATCCAGTGCATATTTGTGTTTGCACTCTGGAGAGCATCAAAAGGTTTCTATTTACATCATGTTTTTTCAGCGTTGAGCAATGTACCCAATCACAGACATATCTGCTGATTTCTTAAATGCCAATCAGAGGCGTTTATGTTAGAATCCACTCACCACTCAAGTTTTTGTCCATTGCTGGAAATCGCGAATCCTCTCATTATAACAAAACGTAATGAGATTGTGAAGAACTAAGAATGATGACAGCTTTTTAGTGATTATAAAGGGAGTGCTCTTTGTGTGCTTTGCTTTCTAGGCTTTGTATATATAATCCATTCAGAATTTGTATAAAACTTCTGTTTTTCGGCCACATACACGCTGCACAGTTTTGGAAATGACACCCACATTTTAATAGGGGAATCACATTCAAAAGAGCAATGGATGGGACAAAAGTATATGTGAAAATGTATGTGCATTGAGGCTAGAGAACACTATGAAGCACCCTCGGTATTTAATTGTGGAACCGGCAATTGTGGAAAACTGTGTTTGAGCAGTTTTCATTATCAGTAGCTCATATGTAGGAGATTGTATGGAGTTTTATGTGGCAGTAGGGTATGCTTCAAAGTCGGAAAAATGAGCAGGATATTTGTTAATTTCCTCTGTGAAGTCACGGGCTTCATTGAATACTCTTTTCATCTGATGATTTCATCTTATGTGTTGATTATTTAGTTTTCAGTGCAAGTCTCTGGTTTCATCAGCTCTGCTAAGTAATAAACAATGTGATATGCTGCCAGCCAATGTTAACTCTATTTTAATCAAAATACAAAACATTATTTACCCAGTTTGCATCTGTGAGGCATCTGTTACACATTTTCCTTGTGTGTTAAGGTCAGTATTTTTGACTGTTGAATATTGACTACTTGGTTACTCTTGGTAATGTATTTTGCAGTCCGTGTGTTTCTGTTCATGGTCTTAATTCTTCATATAGTCCAAAATAGAATAAATGAGGCCCTGTAAAGATCTAGGTGTGGGCAGTGTGATCAAAACATTGTTTTCGGTAATTTTATTTGAATGCAATGGTAGTCTAAATATGACTATTTAGTTAATATAGTGAATTACAGAAGACAAAACAAGCTAGCCTATGTATTGTGGTTCATAAAGTTTAAAGTGGAATTAATGGGACCTTGGTCAGGCTAATTATAGACTTTTTGGCTTTATCGCACATAACCAAGATAAAGAGGCTGGCTGCTGACAGTTAGAGATTTATAATGGTGCACTAATGGTGTCGTGGCCATTATTCAAGGTCAGTCTTTTGGTTTGCTCTTCATGATGGAGACCTGACTAATGCAGACAGCTTCCATAGTCTTCTTATGTCTCAAGGGGCCTTGAACACTTCGTAATGATCTGCAATGGTCCATGTGGTTTAGCAAATAGAGGAGAAAGTGTCATTTTTTCCAGCGAGGGTTTGGAGAACTGTTGAGGAAAGCAGTAGAGCTCTTGTCCAAGAAGACAGCCAGTATGAAGCAACATAAAAAGCTGTAGAAATTCTGTTTTATGTGAGAAACTAGTAACTGATTTTTCTTTTTCAATTTCAACAATTTTCACTGGATTTCTGCATGCATGACTCTAGAGGAAAGATCCTTATCTACCATGAGAGCCAATCATGAGTCTTTGTGAATTTATGCATTTGATTAAAAATAAAATCTGTTGATTCATTCACTAATTCAGTTAGTTATAACCCAATTTCATCAAATATCCTTCACAGCAGTAAAGCAGCCATCTCACCCTCTTTTTCAGTCTCTTTATTGAAGGGTAGACATTTACTGAGTCTGACCCGGGATAATGAAGAACTGATTGTGTGCGAGAGACACAGAGGACCCTGAGAAAGATGCCCCTGAAAGGAGAGAGAAAGCGAATAATAGCGACTTAAAAGTGGTCTTGAGATAACATTCAGTACATGTCTGTAGGCTCGCAGCAAGCAATAATTACCCACTGGGAATGGCAGACCTGTGCTTGTTCGATGGTGAACTCTTCCGTGGGCCTTAAAGGACAGCCTTTGTGGGTGTGTGTGAACCTGAGATGGTGGCCGAACACAGGGCCACCAGACTTTGGGGTCCTGCCAGTGTTCACTCCCACCTTCAATCCAATCAGGATGTTGGATGCAGTTACCAGCCACAATGGCAGCAATGAGATATCAGCTTTCACCGATGGAATGGAATAGAACAGAATGAAAATGAATGGAAGTAAATGGCTAGGAATGGCACTCTGTATAATGGAATACATTATGTGTAACAATAGAATGCTATGGAGGGAATAGAAGGAAATAAACGAGACAGGAAGGATGGTAAGATCCGCTTGTGCTGTAATGCACATACAGCTCTCACCATCAGTGGAATTAAGCCGTATTATGCTTGATTCCTTAAAATTAATTCTTATTCTGGACTGGAGTAATTAATGCACTCTGAGGGAGATGATCGGTGGGACTGAGCAGGAAAGCTAAACAGACTGCTGCTGTTTTTACCGCTGTCTTTTTTTCCGTATGCTGTGTCTGTTTTATTACTGCACTCACCTGGTAATCACATGCTAATGGAGCAAGATCAAATCCAAACCATAACAACCAGCAACACTGAAAGTAATCAACCCTGTTAACTGAATGTAATTTAGACTGAGGCTAAGAGCGCTATTGGGGGGGGTCGCTCTTAATGTGGACAGCACAAAACACTTTATGAGTGAGTTGGAAAATGCGAACCGTTCAGTGCATTTTTGCTTCGTAAATGTTACAGTAATTTGCATACATAAGCAAGAACGCTTTGACTTGTTTTGCTGACCTAACATGAATTCTGCTTCTGTACACTAGAGATTTGCTTTTGTTTTGAAATACTGTCAACAAGAGGTTGTAAGCTTGTCTTTTATCTCAGCTTCCCTGAAGATCTGTGATGTATGTGATCTCTTTTCATGTTTGCCGAAGGTGGTGGCTGTAGTAAGATATCTGAGATTACTCTGCTGTGAATCCTCACCTTACAAGTCGTCGATAAACTTTGAAGTCTGTAACAGTGTTCTTTCTTTCTTTCCCTTTAGTCGATGGTGGAGCCTGAGCCGCACATAGCTGTCAAGTCCAAAAATGCAGTCAACAGGTTTGTGTGCCATTTAGAATTGAGAAGACCTTTAAAATTCCAGTTCAGTTCCTGAATTCCTGAATTTGAATTGAGGTGGTAAACAGTTTGCAGATTTGCCATTTGAATGTAAGGAAGTAGAATTAAGATCAATTTAAATTGAATGTAAAAATCCTTGAAGTTTGAAGGATTGAGGATACACTCTAAAAAATGCTGGGTTAAATATAACCCAGCATTTTTTAGAGTGTAGAATAGACGTTTCATCATTTAATTAACTTTTGTGAAGAACACTTCATTTTATAGAATGCATCACCTGTGTTACATTTCTTTAATATTGCAATCTAGTAAATTTCTCTCTGTCATTCAAATTCTGTGGCCAATTCAATTCAAATTCAAACTCAGGAATTGAAAGGGAACTGATATTTAACCCAGCATTTTTTAGAGTGTAGAATAGACGTTTCATCATTTAATTAACTTTTGTGAAGAACACTTCATTTTATAGAATGCATCACCTGTGTTACATTTCTTTAATATTGCAATCTAGTAAATTTCTCTCTGTCATTCAAATTCTGTGGCCAATTCAATTCAAATTCAAACTCAGGAATTGAAAGGGAACTATTTCTTCTGTTTTGCCTGGCAACCAAGCACACAGCCATTAATGATATACATGTACTGGTACCTGTCATTTTGATTGGTTTATTTTTAAAAGTTGTGCAAGATTTGAACATGCAACTTTTCACATTTAAAGCAAGATATACTGTTCATGTGTTTGGGGTTGGGGTTGGGAAGATTTTTTACAATACTTTTTTATCAGGATTCCTTGAATAGTTCAAACAAAACTTCAAAAGAACAGCATTTATTTGAAATATAAACCTTTTTAATGCCACTGTTACTTTAAATGTAAATTTGTAATTTTTTAAAGAAAATTAATTTCTTAAAAAAAAAAACTTTCTCACCCCAGACATTTGAACAGCTCATGTTCAGGTAGATGGGCTAACCTCCCAAACCTTGGGCTTGCCATCAACAGTCCTTCGTAAATATAAGCTACATTAAGATTGAATGTAAATAATAAACTCATCCTGTAGTCTGGAATTGTTTCATCCTAAATCTCCATATACAAATACCAGTCAGTAGCTCTCTGTTTAACAGAATTAACACAGTGTTATATAAACAGGATTCTAGATTTACTCCATTGAGACTACAAAAATGTAAACCTCTGTGATGGGAGTGTGTCTGTGGTCTAATGAGTCAGTCTTAGCTTACACTTGTATGAGGTATTTCTCATATCACTGTAGAATGCATTTACTTTGGACAAATCATCAAGCACTGTGCTCCTGCCAAAGAGGAGAGGGAAAACAAAGCTGTCAGGCACATTAGGAAGGTCAGCAGCTATTCCTGCATGTCAGGTGGGGAGTCTGGCTTACTGTAATGGGTACAAACAATTGTGATGTACAATTATTCTGTCAACAAAGGAATCTTAGCATTTCACCACTGTTGAATAAACCTGCTGAATAAACACAGCTCAGGATAGAGACTACGTAATCGGTCAAAATGGCATCCTTTTGCGTCATGCAGGTCTGATCTGAGAACATGAATTCATGGTTATGATCAAGTTAGATATACCGGTATACACGATTAACCATCACGAAATGCATGCATTTTTAAACATTGTGGTTAAAAAACAAGTGATTTTAAGCCGTTGAAATTCAATCAGCAACGAAAGAGAACTCATTTCGCTATATGCGCACGCTTGTCTGAGAGACTAATTCTGAGCGCTGTCAGAGAGGTGCGCACACATGAAAACAGTGCTCATACAATGCAGGAGTATTGAACGGAATTATTTTTGCTGCTTTATAGGCCTTGAATGGTTAAATATGCACACTTGCATGTGTCAAAATGCCCATCTTTGCAAGTATCCTTGTAAACACAGTAATTTGGCAGCTCTTAAAGTGACAGCAGTCTAATATTCCTGCTGTCTGTCATTCATGTCATTTTAATCAAACAACAAAAGAGAGAAAATCTCTCACTGCTCTTGATTAAATCACTTTTGTAACTTTAATAAGAAGAAATATATATTTAATTTACACAGTGAAGAATATGCAGTGTTTTTATTCATTTGATTACGTTATACAATGTATGCAGCTTTTCTTATTTATTTGTTCTACTGTAGTTTTTTGTCCTATTGCTTGTAATTAGTATCGTATTCTTATTTAATCGCTGACTGTTTACTTGTCTTCAGTGAGCTTGAGTTTTTTTATTTTTTATTTAAGCTAGTATTAGTTTTTTTGTGATATTGACACTGCTTGCAAAATTTTTGAAATTTCTGTGGTATGAAAAATGTTGATATCATAAGGGCCTTATTTAAAACAAAAATAACTGTATTGTGATATATATCGCTTCGTGAAAAAATTGGTGATATGTAGATTTTGGACAAATCGCCCACCCCTACTATTAGATATGGGTACGTATTACATACTGTACATAAAGATAATTACTATCATTTTTTATCATCATTATTATGATCAAGAAAACACCTAGTATTCTGCTCCAGCTTTGTATTATTTTGAAACCAATTTCTGTGTTTCATTTTTAAGTCACCTTGGAAAAAATGACCTGCTGAAGGATTCAATGTAAGTGTGAATATTTTCAAATTTTCTAAAAAAAAAGAGAAAGTTTTATGCTTTGAACCCGTATTCTAGTGAACAACTAGTGCTGCTGTGTGTCTTTTGAATCATAGAAGCATGCTAATAATTTTTAAGGAGGGGATGTGTGAACTTCATTAGACAGCTGAGATTTGCCTCTCCCACGGCTAATATATTAATACATTTCTACAGCAGATTTTTTTTTTGTATATGTAGCACCTTAGCAACAACAAGTCTTTCTGCCACATTTCTCGAAGGAACCCGCAGTCATTTCTTTCTCATGCAGGCACCTTTCTCCATGCTCACCCCCCTCCTGTACAGCGTGTGTTCTTCCGTTCTTCTCGAAGTTCACTCCACTTCTGCAATTTATCTTCCGCCCACTCTCTCAAGACTCACCAGCTCTTTGTCTTATTCTCGCCCTCTTTTGCAGTCTCTTTTTCTCTTGTGCTCTCAGCTCATTTTTTATTCATATTCAGAATGGTTTCTGAAAGGAAGAGCGGAAACTTCAGTGCTGCATGCAGGCGCTCAGCAGCAAGGACATTTACACCACATACCTCACGGACACTGACAGACGGCTTTTTGTGTGCATGTACTCAAACCCGCAAGCCACATGTAGCCTCCAAGCACTGCTTGGTTTTTTCCCCCTCTGCCTCTTTCTAAGATGCATTAATGAGAAGATTTGCTTAAAATTAAAAATGATATCATCATTTACTCACCCTCATGTCATTTTAAACCTGTGTGATGGCCTTTCCTCTGTGCAACACAAAAAAAGGCTGTGCTAGTCACTCTTTTCATGTGGCTGAAACGAATCTACTGCTTTCAAGCTTCAAAAGTAGGGTTCAAAAGCAAGTTTCATACAAATGCTTCTGAAGTCGTTATATAGCTTTGTTTGAGAAACAGACCAAAATTTACATTGTAGTTGATTGTTCTTATTTAATCGCTGACTGTTTACTTGTCTTCAGTGAGCTTGAGTTTTTTTATTTTTTATTTAAGCTAGTATTAGTTTTTTGTGATATTGACACTGCTTGCAAAATTTTTGAAATTTCTGTGGTATGAAAAATGTTGATATCATAAGGGCCTTATTTAAAACAAAAATAACTGTATTGTGATATATATCGCTTCGTGAAAAAATTGGTGATATGTAGATTTTGGACAAATCGCCCACCCCTACTATTAGATATGGGTACGTATTACATACTGTACATAAAGATAATTACTATCATTTTTTATCATCATTATTATGATCAAGAAAACACCTAGTATTCTGCTCCAGCTTTGTATTATTTTGAAACCCATTTCTGTGTTTCATTTTTAAGTCACCTTGGAAAAAATGACCTGCTGAAGGATTCAATGTAAGTGTGAATATTTTCAAATTTTCTAAAAAAAAAAGAGAAAGTTTTATGCTTTGAACCCATATTCTAGTGAACAACTAGTGCTGCTGTGTGTCTTTTGAATCATAGAAGCATGCTAATAATTTTTAAGGAGGGGATGTGTGAACTTCATTAGACAGCTGAGATTTGCCTCTCCCACGGCTAATATATTAATACATTTCTACAGCAGATTTTTTTTTTGTATATGTAGCACCTTAGCAACAACAAGTCTTTCTGCCACATTTCTCGAAGGAACCCGCAGTCATTTCTTTCTCATGCAGGCACCTTTCTCCATGCTCACCCCCCTCCTGTACAGCGTGTGTTCTTCCGTTCTTCTCGAAGTTCACTCCACTTCTGCAATTTATCTTCCGCCCACTCTCTCAAGACTCACCAGCTCTTTGTCTTATTCTCGCCCTCTTTTGCAGTCTCTTTTTCTCTTGTGCTCTCAGCTCATTTTTTATTCATATTCAGAATGGTTTCTGAAAGGAAGAGCGGAAACTTCAGTGCTGCATGCAGGCGCTCAGCAGCAAGGACATTTACACCACATACCTCACGGACACTGACAGACGGCTTTTTGTGTGCATGTACTCAAACCCGCAAGCCACATGTAGCCTCCAAGCACTGCTTGGTTTTTTCCCCCTCTGCCTCTTTCTAAGATGCATTAATGAGAAGATTTGCTTAAAATTAAAAATGATATCATCATTTACTCACCCTCATGTCATTTTAAACCTGTGTGATGGCCTTTCCTCTGTGCAACACAAAAAAAGGCTGTGCTAGTCACTCTTTTCATGTGGCTGAAACGAATCTACTGCTTTCAAGCTTCAAAAGTAGGGTTCAAAAGCAAGTTTCATACAAATGCTTCTGAAGTCGTTATATAGCTTTGTTTGAGAAACAGACCAAAATTTACATTGTAGTTGATTGATAATCTTCCCCTCCAGTGAGCTGTTAACGGCGAAGACCAGATAATTTTAATGTATTTATTTATTTATTTAAGATTTGTTTTTGCCTT